AATAAAAAAAATATTTATTTTAAGAGAATGTATTTTATTTTTTTAGAGTTTTTATTTTCTGTAGATAATAACTAATACAAGATTCTTTTGTAATCTTTTGGTTAATTATTAATTTTTGTTTACAAATTTTAACATAAACTATAATTATTTATCTTTATTAAAAGATTAATATATTACAAAACATTATTATATTTTATATTATATTATCAAAATCAATACAATATAACAAAATGTTAAATTGGAAGGATATATAAATTATACTTTATATGGATTCCAATAGCTTCACAACTATTTACACTAGATTATTTTATCATTACAATAATTATTTAATGGTATATTACCTATTATTATTATTAACAATAAAATTATATTCTACAAGCAATAATACTATTATTTAAAAAAACAATTAATATTTGATCAATATGATTAAAAATTCTTATTTTAAATAAAATCGAAATATTAATAAAATTGCATTTTATAATTTAATTTATATCAATACTTTATTACTATTATTAAAGTTATAATTAATTATTAAAAAAAAAGATATTATCTAAGTAGATATATTTATAATTTATATAAATTAAATAAACAAATAATTATTATATATTTATTATTTATATAAATTAAATAAACAAATAATAATTATATATAGATTATAAATATAAACCACTATACTTTATAATTGATTTATAATAATATCTTTATATAAAACATTTAATTTTATTATCTAAACTGATATTGATCAACTAAGTGAATGTATTTCTAACAATTGATTCTATACATAGTGAAATTTTGCTAAATTTGAACAATATTCTATTATTTAATTACTATAATAATTTATATTTATTTAAATATAAATATTATAATATAATAATAATTTCATTAAAATTTTAAAAAAATGTTTATTATAGATAGAATTCATTGTAAAAATAAATTTACTTAATACTGTATATTACATAATAAAATAAACATTTTTACAAGAATTATGATTATAATTTTGAAATTTGATTTTTTATTAGTAGCCATTTTATTTATTAAATAGCTTTTTAAACATTCAATATAAATTTTTAAAATTCAAAACATAAGTAATTTAAAATATGATAAACAAGAGTTATTAATTTGAGATTATTTGTTAAAACGCTAGTTTTAGAAATAATATCAATATTAAATCAAAATCAAAATCAAAAAAATCATCGCACAAAATGTAAACCATAAATGTTTATAATAAAATGTTGTTGAAAATTAGCGAAACTTTCACTGTATATAGATTTGGTTGTCTAGATTATACTTACTTAATATGAAAAAGTATATATGCTTAATAAAATAAAAAGTGTAATATGTAGTAACTTCTACGTTTAAAAAAAAATTCTGATTTTTTCGAAACCCCATGTATCAGATTTTCTTTTATCGAGTAGACCATTTGTACAGTTTCTTTTATCGAGAGTTGACCGTACTGTAGCAGTGCATAGCTCGCACCGGAGTGATCCGAATGCCACGAATATTTAGATATCAACTCTTTGTAACATGAATATTAGATTAATATAAACAATAAATTGTTTTTTTTAAAAAATTGACGTTATATTATATTAGTATCGCTATTAAGATAAAAATTACAGTATATTGTCGTGGGCGGATCAGCACCAGCCAATGATGCTCCATGACAACAATACCTGGCTGCGAAATTCGAGAGACATGATTATTTGACCAAGTTGTTAATTATTATTGAGGTAATTTTTTTTAATGAACGGGTTGATTTTTCTTTTCTTACATTTGATCTCTATTTAAATTTTTAATTCTGACCAACACAATATGTCATAATGGTTAAAAGGAATAAAGGGTCAGAAAATACAAAAAATACAGAAAAGAAGACAACAAATTAAATACGCGACCACCTTATTTGGCAATGCATCATTTTTCCCGCGCATTGCAATAAGAATAATTTTTATCCTTAACAATATCCAAGTCTTGGAAAATGTTGTCATACCGATGCCCTTAGAAAGCTTTTATGGCATTTTCCATTATTTGGTCCAGTTCCTGAAAAAAATTTTTGTCAAAAAAACATGAGAACTCTTTGGTGGAATGAAGAGTAAGCTCTTACCTGTTCCAATTCGTCCAATTCATTATTAACGTCTTCATATACTTCTTTAATTTCCTCTCTAATTTCTATAGTTCCGATTATCTCCAAAATCTTTTCTGGATCATCATTTCTGTACCATCCACTTTGTCGTCTATCCTTAACCTCAATTACATCTACTCCCGATCTCACTAATATCAGCAACTCTTGCAGCCCCAAATTATCCGAAAGTATCCAATTACTGTCCAGCACTGGTGATTGCCCTTGTGTTGATGTGCTTGATGTATTAACTGAGTTAAGTGAGCTGTTTGATCCAATAGAATTATTCGATGTGGCGGAGGATGAACGTGGGGATTGCAGTTCCTCTGTTGCTGAATGTAAATTTTTTAAACGCGGTGAAGGTAGCTCTGATTCTTCCGGTATAACTTCAATGAGGCTCGAGTTTGAGCCAATTCTGGTACGATTCTGTGATCTTGGAGAAAGTGGCGGTGGAGAGGATTCTTGCCCTTGATTCTGTGATTGATTCAAGGGAGTAGTAAGCTTAGGAACTGCTTTCGTTCCATATTGTCCTTTTTGAACTTTACGCAATACACGCTCAATCCTTTCTTCTAAGGATTGAACATCATTTT